GTGTAAAGAATCACGGGAAAACAAACGTTATCGGTCACCAGGGTCACGCAAATTGGCCGATATCATTGGTGTAGACACAGGTGGACCAGGAAGTCGACGTCTTGGCGAATGTGGTCATACGCCTGAAGAATATACAAAATTTAAGGTTGTATTTGATAAAAATATAGGATATTTTGGAATTTTTATGAAAATTTTGTTGCTGGACATATTCTTATTATAAACCCATTAATTACTCAAAATTTTCAGGATCTCGTAGAACGAATGTTGACTTTTGATCCACGGGAGCGTATTGGGCCATACGCTGCAGTTAGGCATCCTTTTTTCTCACGTAGAACTGATGAATGTGGAAGCATGGGTTCTGCTCTTGCTTCACACTCCAGAACTTTGCAGCAGCCAGTTACAATGTCCAACAATGTTCAGGTCAATACATCACGAACAGTAAGTTGTATTATTATATGTAGCAATTCAATTATTTCAAAAAAAGCTTTTAATTTTTCAGTCTTCTTTTTAGTACTTTCAGGTTGCACAACCTCATTTTGTTGAACACTCGCTCAATCAGATGGATTGTGCTGACTCTAACGCAGTCATAGTTCATCCACAACATATACAAATGCCACAACTTAACCAGGTACTTTTTGCGAATTTCTTGGAAATATTAGTTGCAAATCCTGTCAGTGCGTATCCTGTCAGTACAAGCTTTTTTTTGTGATCAAGAAATTTAAAGCGTTTAAAAGGTTTTTGCTTTTTTCTCCCCTCCCTCCTTATTTTTAGGACCATAATCATAAGTAAGTCGATCAAACCAGGAATCAAATAAAGAAGCGGAACTTAATTAAAATCTAGTTGGTCGTAGCTGTTGTCCTTATATTTTTCTTCAATTTTAGGTTGTCGGTCAACCCAATAATTACCAACAGCAAGCAAGATCAACAAATCGAAATTTGTTTCAGTGGGTATTAATAGTTGATTCTAACAAGTAATGAATAGTTTACATGCTTTCAATTAATTTTTTTACAGAATTGCTCAACCTTTCGGTTTGTTACCTCAACAAATGCAACAGGGACCGAATCAAAATCAGCAACAGCATCAGTCAAGCAACTCGAATATGTCTGGTACGCAGCATCACTTGCAAGGTCCACTGCATTTTGTATCGGGCTTGCAGAACTCAATTTGGACTTCCCCTGAACAGGGTGAAGATACGCGATATGGCCACCATTCTCAGCCATCGTCAAATCTTCAGCTTTCCCAAAGGGTTAGAATTCATGTTATGAACATGGTCACTTTAAGTATTCAGATTTTTATGCAGCGTTCTCAGAATTAAGTACACGTGAGAATCTTCCTCTTTATCTAAATCTTTTGGGACTAGGTTTTACCATATCGTTTAGTTTTTGCCAATTGTACAATACATTCAGATATTAAATATGAATTTTTTTTTCTTATATTTGCGTGTGTACTCATGTTTCAGAATTCACTTTTGCCACAAAGTCGCAACTTGAGCTTTGACGGAACAGTAGGTAATGGCCAGGTATCACATCAGAGTCGTATGCAGTCTTCAACGAACGGTGCTAGAACAAATCCGACATCTGTTCTGTTTCCAAATAATTTCATACAGCAATCCCAGCAACAGACAGCAGCGCAATCTGGTTTAGCAAATTCAACAACTTCTGATTTTTCATAATTGTCTTATTTTGTTCCTTTCATACTTTTCTTTCTATTTCTGTTTTATTTTTATTGTACATTTTTTTGTACCATTTCAGTGCTTTCAAAAATTTTTATTTGTTTCAAAATATTTGTACTGGTTTTTTCTGTTTTAAGTAACTGCAAACTTGTGATCATTTTATTTTCTATTTTTGTATTTTTTACTTCATAATATGTTCTACTTTTTATTTCATAATATCTTCTTGCTTTTTCGTATATCTTCGTACTTTTTATTTCTTAATATCTTTGTACTTTTTATTTTGTAATATTTTGCTTCTTTATTTCGCACAATCAAAATTCAAAATGTTGGACTTATTCATATTCACAGCATATTGTCTTGCTTATCAAACGTTTGTGTTTACATCTTGCAGTGTTCATGTATTTATCTGTTTAGAGTGCGCAATTATCCACAGTTGTATTTATCATCTAATCCCATATTTTATTTTAAACCATACCTATTTGTGGCATTATCCACCTGCTAAACCGTTTTATAATTTAATGCATATCGATTTGTGTTATTCTTTTGATTAACAAATTTGCATGAATGTTTTTGAGCCGCTAATTTCAGTTTAACCTTATAGTCTAATGTTTCTTTTTTCCTGAGAAATAAAAGAAATATGTATGCATGTACGCGAAATTTTGAAATTGAAATGCTGCAAATTTTCGTTTGACTGTTACGGGCAAGGCAAGATTATTATCCCTGTGTCAGCTTACTTTTTATATCAGTTATGATTTTTTTATTAATTTTTTTATCTGGAGTTACACTGTATATACCATTTTATCAGTTCGATCGCTCCTCATGTTACAATACTATGCTTAATTTTTTGTTTTTACGAACTTTTCATCTAATTTCAATTCTGTTCTCTTTTTTTTTGCAACAGCAACAGCAAGCTTAAAATATGTGATTGCTTAATAAGTGAGTATGCTTATAATATGCATATATTTAGACGCATATATAATATTGATTTATATATGATACCGATTTGTAAAATTTCCAGAAAAATTTTGCAGGAAATTTCCGTTTTGCAAAATTTCGTCAAACAACAATTATCAGTAAAATAATGACCGATTGTTTCTGATAAGTATGTTTATTAATATGTTGTTACGCTGATCAGTTGTATTTTTAGGTGCTTAATTGCTGACCGTATTTTTTTTTAGTAACTGTTCACTTGCACATGCGGCTGTTTGATAACTTTGTGTAGTTTTTCTCTATGTTATCAAATCATTCATCCTGATCTTCCGCCGTTCTCTTTTCCTGAAAACACCTGCCGTTTAGATGGTCTAACGAATCATTTATTGGCTTCGCGTAAATTCGTGTTTGATTCTGCTTTTTCATGCAGTGTTCATCATGGAATTGCTTCGTAATGTAGTGATTGGTCATTTTCGTTATCTTTCATCTTATTAGAACCAAAAGTTTTAGAAACTGACACCGATATGGCACACTTTCAAAGCAATTTCATAACTGGTTTACATGAATTTGTTACGAAATAGCTCACATCATTAAAATGTTGTCATTTCCAGAATCGGAAGCATGCGTAATAATTTTCATGGAAAATTTAAAGAAAGTTTCATTTTTTTAAAACATTTCCGAGCTTTAGTTGTGTGACACCGATACTTTTGACCTTGTATTGCAGGGCAGAAAATTAAATATCTCAAGTTAGTGGAATTTTTGAGTTTTCTTTTCGCAGTATTCAGCAAAATGTTTGACTGTGGAATGTTACACTAACGACTGTGAGGTAGGTAAATTGGAGAGGCAGCGGAATTTTTCTCTTTTTTGCCAAATTTTCGTGAGAACTGAGCAACAGTAGATGGCATATATCATTTAGATTCATTCAATCATAGTTGCATCATTTCGTTTTTCATTGATTGTTATGCGACTGGCCCGTACAGTATTTGACAGGTATTCTTTGTGAATGGTGCAAATCGTTCAGTTCAATGTCATTCATTATTTAAAAATTAGTTCCATTGATGATACATTTTCCCTCGAACAACAAGATGTGAACTCCTCATCCGGTTTCTGCTATTATTCAGGGAAAGTGTATTTTTATTTCCTTGCATTCCTTTTGACAATTTCAGTTAATATTGCTCAGTACTGGAAATGAAGAATGTTTTTAATGTTTAAGTGGATAGGAAAAATAGACATTGCTAAGGAATTGTGTGAAGAGAAACTGTGACAGTTTTCATGATAGCTGCAAAATCATAGCAGAGAGGATTATTATTTTCATGAACACACATTTTAGTAATTCTTTTTATTGCAATAAAAGAGTGAAACAAAAGTTGAAAGCAAAATGAACAACTGTCGGAAATCCGAAATTAATCCTTAATATAAATTATTACAAATTAAATTCATGGGAAATATTTCTTAGTAAAATATATAAATTTATTTTGTCAATTAAACTGAGGAAGCTGCATTTCACAATTTGTCGTTATTAAATTTAATTTCTTGTCATATGACTTCATATTGTGTTGCTATAATTCATTAAGAGATTGCTTTATAACGCCTTTGTCCCTTAATTGTTCTTTGTCTTTTATGTGAAACCGATTTAGCTAACAAGTAATCAAACAAACCTGTGTCCTCTGCTTCTTTCTTTCCCAACATGACATTGTCTGACCCCAGGGTTATCTATTAAGCCCATTATC